TGCATAACTGTCTATCTACCGTAGTTGCTTCCCACTCGTCGTGCAGTACTATTTTTGTTAACAAACGCTTAATCTAGTTCTCAAGCATAACATGATCAGTACCACATGCATGTCACGATGCTCCGACTGGCAGAAGTCCCCCACAGAACTTGCGATAGATGTGTTGTTCATCTACCAGGCTGTCCAGTTTCACCCCATAATAACTGGGAGTTGTCCACTGAAGACCTTAAGAGAGGTCTTGTTTTTAAAATTTGATAGGATGCCCAGTTTTACCTTCCATGCCCTCTAAGGAGCGGGGTAGCCAGTTACATTTTCAGACACTGACTTCTCAACCCATGAGACAGGTAGCGTTGGTTAATCTTCATTTTTTAACGCACGGGAAAAATGATTACAAACAGCTTACCGTTTATGGCGTGGAATGTTCACTTTTCAGTGTTCGCTCATGCGATTTTTTTTAACAAAAAAACACGCGTTCCTTCTTTTGCGACAAGCACAAAATGCTTTCTCCTCTTGAATTATATTTTAAATGCAGACTGAGTTTTCTGTACTGGGTGCAAGGTTCGAACTTTGGGGAGTATCAATTGGGGTATTTCCTCGCCCTTAGTAGGAAGTTATTTGGTCACGTGATGTATTTTGACCGATTGTACTCGAGCAAAAATTTTTCTTGGTTCATAACACATAATAATGACTAAGGAGTTTGAAAGCTGAGAATAGTCTTAGCTCTCTGCCCGACTTGATGGTGTAAAAATATCAAAACCCTCCTTGAAAACAATACTTTGGTAATCATTGGGAGCATCTTTATGTTTAATTTCACGCCTCCCAAAACGTTACCAATCTTTATAATCATTTGTGAAGTTACATTTAAGTTTTCTCTTTTCTACATTTTCCTCACGTCAAAGGACATCTTTTTAACATACAGGGCAGAGCCGTAATGAATAACACAGCAGAAATCCTAAAATCATTCCAGATAGAGTTAGACGTCGCCATCTTTCTTCTCAACACTGATCGTGGCCTACAAGCGACCGAGTTATGTAATGAATGTTTAATTCTACTTCACAAACTTGACTCTGGTATTGACTTTGATTATAATATCTCTGATGTAATATTCACTGTATTCTACGCCACCTCTGGTTACACAAATGCAGCACGATACACCACGAAACTTATTGACAAGTTTTTTCTGGCCGGAAAACTAAGCATGGAACTGGGAGACAAATACGAAGCAAAGGGTCAGTTTTCAGAGGCTAAGCAACTTTTTGAAAGCGCACTGACAATTGTGAGAATGACTGGTCATAGAAGAGAAGAGACAGTGGCTTACCAGAGACTTGGATGTGTATGCTATATCCTCAGTAAATATCAGAAAGCGAAAGAATATTACCAGAAAGTACTTGCCATCACAGGGGAGATCGGCGAAAAAAATGTAGAACTAGCAACAAGTTACGCGAACCTCGGATGTGTGTTTCATTCCCTTGGCGAATATCAGAAGACGAAAGAGTATCACCAGAAAGCACTTGCCATCAACATAGAAATCGGCGACAGAAATGCAGAAGGAACAAGTTACTAGAACCTTGGACATGCATTTCATTTCCTTGGCGAATATCATGAGAAGGCGAAAGAATATCTTGAGAAAGCACTTGCCACCGTCACCCTGATAGAAATCGGCGACAAAAATGAAGAAGGAAAAAGATACGGGAGCCTCGGAAGTGTATTTCATTCTCTTGGCGAATATCGGAAGGCGAAAGAATATCTCGAAAAAGCACTTGCCATCATGATAGAAATCGGCGACAGAAATGAAGAAGGGACAACTTATGGATGCCTCGGAGCTGTGTTTGATTTGCCTGGCGAACATCAGAAGGCGAAAGAATTTTACGAGAAAGCCCTTCCCATCAAGATAGAAATGGGCAACAGAAATGAAGAAGGAACAATCTACGGCAAACTCAGAGGTGTCTTCAAATCCCTTGGCAAATATCAAAAGACAAAAGATTATCTTGAGAAAGCACTTGCCATTGCAATAGAAATTGGTGACAGGAAAGCAGAAAAAAAATGTTACGGAAACCTCGGAGGTGTATTTCAATCCCTTGGCAAAAATCAGAAGTCGAAAGAATATCATGAAAAAGCACTTGCCACTGCAATAGAAATTGGTGACAGGAAAGTAGAAAAAACATGTTACAGAAACCTGGGAAGTGTATTTCAATCTGTTGGCGAAAATCAGAAGTCGAAAGAAAATCATGAAAAAGCACTTGCCATTGCACGAGAAATTGGTGACAGAAATGGAGAAGGAATAAGTTATGGAGACGTCGGAGACGCCTTCAGATCCCTTGGTGAATATCAGAAGGCGAAAGAGTATCACCAAAAAGCACTTGCCATCAACATAGAAATCGGCGACAGAAATGGAGAAGGAATAAGTTATGGAGACCTCGGAGACGCCTTCAGATCCCTTGGTGAATATCAGAAAGCGAAAGAATATCTTGAGAAAGCACTTGCTATTGCGATAGAAATCGGCCACAGAAATGCAGAGGGATCATTATACGGAAACCTTGGAGGTGTGTTTCAATTCCTTGGCGGATATCAGAAGGCGAAAGAATATCGTGAGAAAGCACCTGCCATTGCGATAGGAATCGGCCACAGAAATGCAGAGGGATCATTATACGGAAACCTTGGAGGTGTGTCTCAATCCCTTGGCGAATATCAGAAGGCGAAGGAATATTACGAGAAAGCCCTTGCCATCAAGATAGAAATGGGCAACAGAAATGAAGAAGGAACAATCTACAGCAACCTCAGAGGTGTCTTCAAATTCCTTGGAAAATATCAAAACGCAAAAGAATATCTTGAGAAAGCACTTGCCACTGCAATAGAAATCGGCCACAGAAATGGAGAGGGAACATTATACGGAAACCTTGGAGGTGTGTTTCAATCCCTTGGCGAATATCAGAAGGCGAAAGAATATTACGAGAAAGCCCTTGCCATCAAGATAGAAATGGGCAACAGAAATGAAGAAGGAACAATCTACCGCAAACTCAGAGGTGTCTTCAAATCCCTTGGCAAATATCAAAAGACAAAAGATTATCTTGAGAAAGCACTTGCCATTGCAATAGAAATTGGTGACAGGAAAGCAGAAAAAATGTTACGGAAACCTCGGAGGTGTATTTCAATCCCTTGGCAAAAATCAGAAGTCGAAAGAATATCATGAAAAAGCACTTGCCATTGCGATAGAAATTGGCGACAGAAATGGAGAAGGAATAAGTTATAGAGACCTCGGAGACGCCTTCAGATCCCTTGGTGAATATCAGAAGGCGAAAAAATATCTTGAGAAAGCGCTTGCCATTGCGATAGAAATCGGCGAAAGAGATGAAGAAGGAAAATTATATGGAAACCGTGGATGTGTGTTTTATTACCTTGACGAATATCAGAAGGCGAAAGAATACCTCGAGAAAGCATTTGCCATCCTGATAGAAATCGGCGAGAGAAAGGGAGAAGGAATAAGTTACGAAAACCTTGGATGTGTGTTTTATTCCCTTGGCGAATATCAGAAGGCGAAATAATTTTTCGAGAAACACTTCCCATCATGATAGAAATCGGCGATAGACTTGGAGAAGGAAGCGCATACGGAGACCAAGCAGATGTGTTTCTTTCACTTGGCGAGTATCAGAAGGCGAAAGAATATCACGAGAAAGCACTTGCTATCGCAACGGAAGTAGGAGCCAGAAGACAAGAATGTTCAACATGGGCAGACCTTGGAGGTGTTTATAGTCTGCTTGGAAAACGTCGTCAAGCTAAAGAATATTTCGACAAAGCACTCAGCATCAGTACAGCAAGTGGATACAGATTAGAAGAGGTATTAGCTTCCGTAGGTTTGGCAAATGTGTTTGCTTCTATCAATGACAATCAGAATGCGAAAGAACTATATCAGAAGGCGCTCACTATCAGCAAGGAGTGTGGTATGAGAGCTATTGAAGGACAAGTTTACCACAGGCTTGGCCGACATCTGTCCAAATCCCTTGGTGAAAGTAAAAAGGCACATTATTACTTAGAGGAAGCTCTCTCTATAAGCAGTAGAACTGGAGACATAAGTACTGAGTTTAGCAGCCTTCTCGCTATTACACTGTTGAAGGCTTCGCAATCAAAGATTGTGGAGGCAAAGGAATATCTTCTTCAATGCATTGGAAAATATGAACAATTGAGGAGTTCTCTGAAAGGAAACAGAGAGTTTGAAATATCTCTGTTTGAAGCACATGGCTTTTTTCCCTACCGCTTGTTCGCTAGGTTACTTTGCAATAGTGGCAAATTTGAAGATGCTCTTTATGTCGAGGAGCTGGGGCGGGCGAGAGTCCTCGCAGATTCTATCGGAGAAAAGTTTTCCAATGAAAGCCACATCTCAACTGATCCAAAGTCATGGTTCAGGATCGAAAAAATTGTAAAAAGAGAGAGTAACTGTGTCTTTTTGTACATTTCGTATGTTGAGCGGCAAGTTTCTCTCTGGGTTTTGAAAGCAAACGAAGACATTTCCTTACGAGAAACCGACAAAGTGAAAGACAACACTCTTATCCCTGAGAAAGTTTACAATGTGGAGGGAGTTTTCAAAAAAAGCGCCAGAGGCTTTGGTGTTCTATCCACAGCAAATTGTGAAGATCGATCTTTGGAAGACAAAGTTACTACATCTCTTTTAGAAGAGAGCAGAGCAATTTTGCGCGGTGACGAAACCAACGATACCGAAAGAATTCATCAATTGTGTTACCAATGGATGATCGCTCGTGTGGCAGATTTACTTACAGAGCCTGAAATCATCATTGTGCCGGATCGTTTCTCCTACCGAGTCCCATTTGCTGCCTTGCGTGATGAACCATCCGGAAAGTATCTATCAGAGAATTACAGAATCTGTATCTTCCCTTCTCTGACGACTCTCCGGCTCATTCAAGAGTGTCCAGCGGACTATCACAGTGAAACTGATGCACTTATAGTCGGTGATCCCACGGTTGGCAAGGTGCATTACGATGGGCGTTACAAGACCTTTGTGCCATTGGACTGTGCTAGAGAGGAAGCAAAGATGGTTGGTCGACTGCTGGGCGTTCAGCCTTTGTTAGCAGAGTGCGAAACTAAGGAGGCGGTACTCCAGGCAATACCGTCAGTGAGTCTGATTCATTTTGCCGCACATGGAAATGCCGAGAGAGGAGAGATTGCCATATCTCCTCATGGTGCTTCTGACAGCATTCCACAAGAAGAAGACTACCTTTTGACAATGTCCGACATTTTTGGTGTTCAAGTGCGAACTAAACTGGTAGTACTTAGCTGTTGTCACAGTGCGCGTGGATTGGTTAAAGCTGAAGGAGTTCTTGGAATCGCTCCAGCATTCCTAGCATCCGGTGCACGTTCAGTGTTGGTAGCATCGTGGGCCATAGAGGACGAAGCAACGGAGCAGCTCATGAAGCAATTCTACAAGCATCTCGCTCGTGGAGAAAGTGCCAGTGAATCTCTTCACCAGGATGTAAAGTGGTTGCGAAGCAACGGCTTTCCCAAACCCAAGCAGTGGGCTCCATTTGTGCTGCTGGGAGACAACGTGACATTTGATTTTACGCACATTGGGTAAGTCTGGTTGTGATGAGGGATTTTCGTAAGTGACATTGGCTACCATAGGGACTGGTCATTGTTGATTTACAGTACGGGAGGGAGGCTGGGGGAAGTTGGAGGATTTTGGCTGTGTTGCAAGAAAATTCACCTGATCCCCCTTTAAGGCTCTATAATATTCTTTTGAACCCCCATCATCGGTAATTAATTGGCAGTCAATTTTGTGTAGTGCCCCTAAACACTATTTTTGACGACAACAGATCGTCCTTCTGTTTCCCCTGAAAATCACGCGATCCACCAAAAATCCTCCATTTTCCCCCTTCGCCCCTTCACGTGAATAATATTGACTGGTCGCTTTTTTGTTGAGTGACTAACTTGGGGCAAATTTCTTTGTATTTGTTTGTTTGTTGTTCCCTTTGTCGTTGTCTTTCATTCTTGAAACGTCAAGTAAAAAAAGATTGTTTTGTGTAGCCCCCTGAAAAAAAAAAAATGAATCATTTTTAAAATCAATTCAGACTTGCTTCTATGACTGTGCAAATTGTCCAGAAATTATTCCAGAAGGCAAGCTGGATAGGATGAGAGACAGGCCATGGCAATGAAGACAATCTGAGAGACATAAGTTGACTTTAAAATGAGCAAGTTACTCTTAAATTATGTTTAAAAATCAACCTCAACAATGATATGAGTAATGATATAGAATCTAAATTTAAAGTGACTTACCAGTAAGCTTCAAGCATGGCTTGATTGGCAATACTTTGGAAAATGATACTCAATGAGATTGAAGTTGATTGCATTTTGAGCTGTATGTCAAGCTACTTTAAATCTTTTGGAAAATCTGATCTGTATGCTGTTAAGTTGAAATTGTGACAAATGTATCATGTGTGTTTCAGGAAAGAGGAACACAAGGAGGACAGCAATGAGGCAGAGAAGAAGCAGAGTGACTGCTGATCCTACACAAAGATAATCTTGCCTGCACATTGTTTTAAAATGGACACTTGGTATTAGTTTACCTAGACATTTTTTATTCTTTTTTAGTTATGTAGTAACTTTTGTAAACTTGGCTGGATCAAAGTCTAGTGACACTAAAAGCTGCAGTTTAGCCATTAGACTGATTAAGTAAAAATTGCTGAGATAAAAGGAAAAGGAAAATCGGACACAGGAAATTAGCTGAACATTGAAAAATGTGAGAATTTTGGCAGTTTCCTCTGAGTTGCAAAACTCAAAAATTAATCTTTAACTCACAGTACAAGTTGTTAGTACAGAAAAAAACCTCTATTGCTTTAATTAATGACAAATGAAGGAATGAGTTTTTTATTTACTACTTGATTGGTATAGATTTTCTCAATACACATTCTGATCAATAGTAATTCCTAGGAGCCAATGAAAGCAAGCATCTGATAATGCAAAAACCAATCAAAATTTGCATTACTCCAGCATCCTGTGGATGAAACAATTAGCACTTTGGAATCCTCGTAAATTTGAGAAAAATGCCAAAATGTCTAGAATATATGATTCTTTGTGGGAAAAACTTCAGAAGGAAGGGGTTTTTTTTAGTTGAGCTGAAAATGAATGTCATCATGGTTGATCACTTTTGAAAAGTTACATAAATTTCCCAGATTTGACATCAATAGAGCATGGTTAATTAGTTGAATGCACTCATCCTGCCTTGAGATTTGCTGGTTAGTAGAGTATTGTTGTCCCATCTTAAATTACCCAATGTTAAAGTAGTTTTTTACACCAAGAACATTTACGAGAAATTTTACATTTTAAGAGAAATTGGAAAGGTAGAGAATACCAACTGTTTGCTTTGAGACATTTATAGTTTGTAGCATATCATTTGGTGAGCATTGCGGCAAACATTTTGTAATAAATAATGAGCTGTAGAGGATTTTATTGTAGTAGTTAAATGCCAAAGTTGTGTATGTTTACCAGGCATTCTGTTGCAGATTTTGTTGATTTTGCTTAGGCTCCCTCTCAGGTGGGGTGGGGTGGGGTAGAGGAGGGAGGTGAGAGAAAATTTAAATTTGCCAAAGTTTTCCTCCATTTCTAATATTTATCCTCAATGTTACTTTGTTGCAAAAGCTCTGAAATGTTTTCAAATTGTGTTGGGAAGTGTGACATCACTACCTTGTTTACATACTCTCATCTTTGGGCCTGATAACACGAGGCAGGCTGCCTTGGTTTTACTAAGATCACAGCACTTTGGCTCAACACAACTAAAATCAACATTGTGATTACATGAGAAAGGAGCCAGCCAAGTCAGGTGGTATTCTGGTATCAGTTGGCTTGGTTGTCATGTAATCACAAAGTTGAATTTAGTATTGAGATTTCAGCAAAACCAAGCCAGCACCTGGCCAACTGGGCCAGCCAGGCCCTAAACACATTAATCAACCAACAAGAGAGCAGTAACTATCTTGAACATTCTATAAAAATATACAAATTGAAATGAATAGTGAACAAGATATCATGTTAACAATCAAACAGATAACAGGAATAGCACTACACAAGGTTTTAATTCAACAATTCAGAGAATAGAACACAAATGATGTGCAAGATGGAAAAGTAACAATCAAATGAGAAGAGAAAAAAAAATGCAGAGTAAATAAAAGAAATAGTGCGCTATACACTAATGTAAAAGTTAAACTGAAAAGAAAAGGAATATGCAATTAATAACAAGTGGACATAAAAGCCAAAGAGGTAGATGGATGAGATGCAGTTCCTCCAGCTTCCCTCCCCTTGTCACTCTGTTCCAGCTTTCAACATAATTCATTTTCAGCATTGTACCATAAATTCAACTACTGAAAGTGATGAACAGGGAACTTCCCCTTGCAATTTAAATGCATTGTTGAGCAAACAGGTAATGTACAGAATCAAGAAAAATATCAGCTTAGGAGAAGTTGATTCCATAATTCTCTCAGCTGACACAATAGATCAAAGGAACACAGAGGGGAAAAATACCAGAAAATAGACTGGTTCGTTGACCTAACTCTGAGCCTTTCCCATCAAGACATAAATAAGTTTGGTATTGAGTGAGTTGTGTACTCTGGGAGTGTGAACTTTAAGAGCAGTTGCCCAATTAGACAATATCAAAATGCAGGATTATTTACATCATCATTATTGGTTAAAACCTTGGTTCAGTTGTTTGCACGGAAATATCATATAAAACAGAATCTGTTAATATGAAGAAGGATGTATTTTTCTTGACAAAAGGGTGGGACAAAAAATTCGAGTCTCCAGAAAGAATTGAATCTTAATCTTAATCCCACACTCCCACATTTCAACACTGAGGTACAGAGACTCTCCAGTGACCAAGGCCATAATTATTATTTTGTATGTGAGCAGGTTGTCTACATTTTATTACTGGATACAAAGCCATCTTTGAGTCCACAATTTACAACATACTTTGATCCCATGAAGTTTTTTACATTTTGAATGCTGCAATGTAGTTCTTGGATAAAACTGGTAAGTAACCTGTTTCATAGAAGAACTGTATCTCTGTTTTTTTTTTTTTTTTAGATAAAGTTAGTTTTCTAAAAATGACACATAGTCTGTCAACAGCGCAAGTTCCTGTTCACTTGTAAGAGGAATCTCTTTCTGTGGAAGTTCTGCAAATAAAATAAGAAAAAGGAGTCAAAGCATGAAAGCTGCTTTTATTTACTTAATTACATTTCTTGACTGAAAAGGGGAATCAACACATCACAATTGAGATTATAGTTTTGAAATTTGACATGTGTTTTTGAACCTCTCCCAGGATTCAAAGATTCATTCAGTGCTCCAAACTCAAGGTTTTTCAAAGTGACTATTAGGCAACCAGAAATCAGAACACACTGGAGAGGGTTGTTGAAGGTTCATCGAACAACTTGAGGAGAAGGAGGTAACCGTAGAAAATGAATTGATTAAAACAATGTACTAACTTGACTGCTGAACACAGGTGGCCTATATGGTGACTAAATGACTCTGAATTTATGAAAATCATATAATTATGCAAACTGCGGATCATGTCACTAATGAGCTTATTGCCAAGGTGACCATTGCGGTCACAACTTGGAGTAATGTCTTTTAGCAACTAAGTTTAACATTCCTCTCTCAAAAAAATGTAGAGAGATTACTAAGAGAAAATGTTGGAGACTTATGAATTAATAAGTTTAAGACTGAGTTTGTATTTGTACCTGTCTTCTTGGGAGTGATCATTCCTGTGGCTGGATCACTAATCCATCCACTGGCAACAGCTGCTAAATTATCATCACACAACCAAAAAATATGAATCAACTATTAAACTTATCTTATAGCTTTGTTTGTACTAAGTCATTATTTTATCTGATGAAGGAGAACGCATCCTATTCATGTTTTCTTGGTCCTGCTGGTATTGATCCAAAGCCAGACAGTTTCAGCTTTTCTACATGTCTGCCATCTTGGACTGTTACAAATAAATGGCCTTGATTTTAAGCAGGTATCTGGACTCACTTTTATTTGGATGAAGGTTAAATTGCAACCACTTGATCAAACAAAATGAGTTACTACAAATCAGAACTGTAAGCCCAGCTTTTGCCTTCATGCATGATCATGATGCAAAATAATACAGTGTCATTTGGACTGTGCATATCTTACTTCTTGCACTATCTGTTTACTAACAATCACCACTGCCAAACATTTTCTAAACCGCCTCCCGGTTAGCTCAATGGATAGAGCGCTGGACTGTTGTGCGGGAGGTCGAGGGTTCGAGCCCCCAGGGTCTTAAAATAATTGAGAAGAATTTGCTACCTTTCTATAACATCAAGAAATGGTTAGATATTCTAGTCTTCTCGGATAGGGACAAATAAATGGAGGTCCCGTCTCCTGCAGGGTTGGGGTAGGAGACATTAATTTCCCACACACGAGATTACTGTGTGATGGATGTCCTCCCCTGGGGTGGGAGGGTGGACTAGCACGAATGGTTCCTATGTTCCTTTCTAGTCCTTCCCAACTGCAAAACTTAATGCAGTGAAAATGGACTAAATTAAAATTAAATTAAATTAAAACTAAATTAAATTAATTTTGAAATTTGTAAGTGATCAGGGTTGAATATATTCAGCAAAACTGGTACACTAACCACTCAAAGCAGCTTCCCTTGTTATTCCCATTAGTTTAGCCAAGTCTTCTCCTCTGATAGAGGTGTATGCATTGGATACTAGATCAAACATCCTTTTCTGAAGTTTTTCTGAAAGAAACATCAGAAGTCAAACTAGAGACCATTACAGATAAGGAGGGTAATGTCTGCCTTAATTATTTAATTAGTCAATTGTGTTTAACATATCATTTTGCTAGCATGTATCCATTATTATAATTGTACCATATATTATATTGTATTTATTTCTCRGAGATACTAGCGCTTATGCGCTACTCTTCAATCCAAGAAGTGATTAAGATACAAATACTCCCTAAAATATTCATACATTATCCAGCAAACAGGTAGTGAGAATACTCAAACTTATCAGGTAGAAGTTTTTAACTTGATCTAAAACCACATTCTCATAACTAAATTATGAGGAAATGTGTAGCAGCAAGAGGGGAGAATTAACAATCAGATCTTAGAGGAGAAAAAGGGTTAGGACCTGTTCCACGCAATTGGTTGATAATGTAGGGTGTATGAGTGAAGGTAAAAAGGTGGAACAGTCATCAGGAGCTTTAATCATGTCAAGCTCTTCTCATTTTTCAGTCAAAAACTCACTTCTACAAATACAAAAGACAGTCTCTCCTCTCAAGTAAACAAGCTGAAACTAATAAAGCAGCAAAGTGTCATTGGAATCCATAGCAAACTCATAAAAACATTGACTTTTCAGCTCTTGTACATAATCAAAATCAGTGGAAGTCAAATGAATGGCCAGTAGTTGCTCCTCATTTCTCTGTGAAAACTGAGAATTTTTGGGTTTCATACAGGAGTTTCACACAATTGATTTCAACATGACAATTGCAAATTTACCACACCCGACCATGATTCCTTGCTAAAAGGAAGTTTTGTTTAGTTTCAAAGAGAAATCAGAGTTACATGAAGCCATGAAAGGGTTCCGTTGGAATTACTTTCCTTGCTTATCACCCTGCTGTTTATAAACAAAATGAGCACAACAGATCATGGGTAAGCACAGACTTATGACAAAGAGAAGATCATAATAATTTTTGAGTTTACAGTTGTAGGCATTTAAATCTCACCTGTTAATGCTGTCATGATTGGCTGGATAGAAGGGGACCAGTCTTCTTTCAGAGCATTATAAACTGCTACAAAATCTCTTTTCCACATATGACATCCTACATTCCAAAGTTTTGCAAGCTCTGGAGTTGACTTAGGTGATAAATATATGAAAAATACAAATAAATTTATTAACCAAAATGAGATAATATACACAGTCAAATTGCTTCTGTAGTGGACATGGTAGCCTAATATTTAGCTTGTTGAACTGCAAAGTAATTAATTTAACTCCTGGCTGGATTATCATCAGTGATGTGTTCTTGGGTAAGATACTAGTCAACCCTTTAACTCCCACAAGTGATCCACATGCAACTTCTCCCGACAATATCAATACTTCATTCAGCAAACAGGTAATGAGAATCATGACTGTGCTCTAAGAAAAATTGAAGGGACCCCAGTGCTCTGAAACTGTGAAATCCAGGGTGCCCAGATATGCTTTTTATGAAAAAACTAAGATTCTTGAGTCACCCAAGAGTAAAAGTAAGGCACCAGGGGCCACCAGGCACTGCTAGACCACGGCCTTGAGAATACTCAAACTTATCAGGTAGAAGTCGTTGTCTTGATCTAACACCAACATCTTATAACTAGTTCACATTGTAATAAAGCAACTAGAGGGGAAATTAACAATCATGTCTTGGGAATTAAAGGACAACAGTTTCAGAGAGCCCAACTCTCCACCCAGGAGTATTCATGGAATATCAGGGAGACAAAATACACTCTGAAGCTACTAGGAGGGGGTGGGGGTAACCTAGCATGTGACTGGCATCCCTTCTGCAGTAATCGCAATAATGTGAAGATAAATATATTATATGAGAACCTAAATTATTAAAAACTGGATCATTGGATAATGCAATTCAAGACTTTTCATTGGCTTAGCCATTATGGTATACGAGCCAATATACCATAAACTACGATATGGTAAGTGTACGCATAAGCTTAAAATTGAAAGGAGCTAAAAATGTAATAAAATTTAATAATTTAATGTAGCGTTTTTAATAAAACAATTATTCCACTCGCGTTTGTTGGATATGAGATGATTATAGCCAACTTGGCGCTACGCGCCTTGTTGGCTATCTATCATCTCATATCCAATGCGCGCTCGTGGAATAATTGTTAATTATACCTCAGGTATTTTAATTGGTTCTTACTGAGGAGTTATCGGAAGGCACTAACTAATAGTTATGTATAAATGGCAACACCATTACAAACAATTTTCTTCATTATAAAAACACACATTCCATGTTACCTTGCCCCCATCCAGAGAGAGCACAGATGGTAGTGATAATTATTAACATCAGTAACACATCAGTAACAGACTTAGCTGCCGCTTGTAAGTGAATTTTTTGTGATCTACACATATCACTGATTAACTGAAAGCTAATTAAAATTATTTTCAAATTTTGATTGAATCTGTGATCTATATATGATCTAATTCGATTGAGTCTGTGATCGACATGTGATCTATTTTGATTGAATCTGTGATCTACTTATGATCTATTTGATTGAATCTGTGATCGACACGTGATCTATTTTGATTGAATCTGTGATCGACATGTGATCTATTTGATTGAATCTGTGATCGACATGTGATCTATTTTGATTGAATCTGTGATCGACATGTGATCAATTCTGATTGAATCTGTAATCTAAAAATGATATATTTTGATTCAATCTGTGATTGACATGTTATCTATTTTGATTGAATCTGTGATCTACATTAATATTATGATCTATGTTGATCGAATCTGTGATCTGCTTATGATCTATGAGAGGAATGACACATAGAGGGACGTCACCTTTTTATCATTCAAAACAGAGAGATTCCATGTTGCCAAAGGGTTTGTCCAGTAATAGATCATAGAGGAACTCAAAATGTTGCAGTGAAATCTTTTTGTTAATGAGATGCAAGGCATCATGGAGTACACTTATTAATTAGCTTCAGCCAGTTGGACCACTAAGCTTCAGTTATACGTTCAGTTGAAATGCTTTTTCTGCTCACCTCTCAAAACTATTCAATGATGTTAATACAAATTGTTAGTAAATATTTCAAGAGGAAAATCTATATTCATGTTGATGGTGTGTCAAGATTTATTGTAATTACAAGAGTTGATAAAGTACTTACCAGTTTAATTTCATCTGGTGTTCTTTTCCATAAAAACTTGGCATTGCATCTGAAAAACAGTAATATCAAAAATAGTTTCACCATAATAGAAAGAGGCTTTCAAGTCAACTTGTTGAGCCTATTTAACATGGAGAAAATAACTCAGCCATGACCTTAAGAGTTTAACGGATAAAATCAACCAGTATTGGGTGATATGCTTCTTAATTACAAAGATGGGAAAGGCCACTTCCCAGTTCTTGTGGTGTAGTGATCTGGTAATGAAATTATGGTGTGAAATGAGGCTAAGTGCACAGTTGCTCTCATTGGTATAAAGAATAGAGGGCTGTACCATGGAAAATGAGCAAAAAAAACTTGAAATTCATTGTAGGAGAGTGAAAAACTATTTTGTGGGAGAGAGGCATTCAGTTAGTTGACGATGAGAAAGGAAAGAAAAAAGCAGAACTATCTGATCAATAGAAGATAGCTGCAGCAATGAAGTAGCTCAAACTAGCCACCTTCCAGGATTCAGGGGCTTCAAATTCCATCTGTAACCCTTTCAATTCTAAGATTTCAAAATCAATTCTCTTTACAGTCGATACACATTTACTATAACACATAAATTATAAAAACTTTATTGCTGAGTTAAGCTGATTTCTAGGACTTTCCAGGACCTGTGGTCTTCTTCCAGGACTTTCTAGTCCTAGAAAATGTCAAAATAAAATCCAGGACTTTCCAGGTTTTTCAAGACCCATACAAACTCTGTAATAAAGTCATGTAAATGTATACAATATCTTATTAGCACATCCAGATACCCTCTTCTTTTCCTACCAGCCCCTCCAGTTACTTTTCATGGGAAGCTTTCTTTAATTTTCAGTTTTCTTTATTAGACCACTTTTTTTTTCCATGAGAAGAGTTTGTTTACATGTGTGTACACTGGTACATGTGTAGTGTTATCACATCTTATTATTTCATTTTTAAAACATTTATACGGTACTGTAAAAGATTAGTTCATTTGCAATCTTGTCAGAGCAATTTCCCATTCGATTTGAAGCTTGAACATCTCCCTCTTCAGGCAATCTACAGGTGTTTGACCATCATTCATGCATACAAGTAGGAAGTGGGGAATTTGAACCAGAAACTGTATATTTAAGTCTTTCCAGCAGAACCAACATGAAGGTGATTTAGGGTAAAGAGTTCACTTTCATGAGCAAATAGCTCAGAAGAAGAGGTCTACAAGGTCTAGGTTTTAAGTTTTATCAAAAACTGACCACCAAATCCAGCACTCCAGTAGGGAATTTGAACACAATTTTGGCCCAGGGGGTGGGGGAGTTGGGGAGACAGGAATTTGAACAAACCAATCTTCAAAAGTTCGAATGCCCGGGGGATTCTTGGGAAGGGGATGTTGAAGATTTGAATTTATCGATCGTGACGCATGATGGACCGCCTTCGCCTGAAACATTGTGTGCTACGAGTTTAGGTTTGGATAAACTCAAAACTTACATATCATTTTGGAACAGATAAACCGCTAACAGCTGTGTATAAACTTCCCCTGAAGCAGAACCCTGTGGATAGATAAAGATATAATGAATACAAAATCGGTAAAAAGTTTGAATTATCATCTGCTACTTCACAAGTTTGGTAGATAAATCAAGCGCAAAGAAGAAAGTAATAATGATCCAAAACCCTCTCAAAAATGGGAATGTAAAAAAGATTTGAGGAAAGTTAACAATTCTAAAAAAAATTTTCCATTATGCTTACGTCGAGTTCCATTTGTTCGCATTTTATGCACAACTCTTCAAAATCTTCAGTGTCCGCCATCTTTCAGTTCTCATTTACTCTACCGGTTGAATCGCTGGCTCATTATTTTCCGAGGAAACTTCGAACAACGAAGATTCACCGAAGACTTCCGCGAGAGTTTCAGCTAGAAACGAAGTTACCCCCAAACTTCCCAAGCTATGCAACGCTCCGTTGGTCGGCTAAGTGGAATTGCAACCGTATTTTCGCGTGGATTTCGTTCTTCTGCGTTCGTAACCATGCCAATCAAGGTAGGAGTGATATATTTTCTTCAGTTTGTAGTTGAGTTAATCTTTATCGCTAGATCTGCCACCCTGGTTCCAGATAATGTACTTGTATTTCAAAGCTTCGTTTTTCCACTAAAATTAAGACCGCACGTGAACCTCAGCTATACTGCTGGGAAATGACAGGCAATTCTGCTTCTTTTCTCTTCAGGGGTCTTTTTTCCCGGGCTCTCCTCGGTAGCCGAAATTGCACTTAAAATTTAGCAGCTTAGCTGCACTTACATCAGATCCCCTGGGATAAGTGTTAGGTTTATGTAAAGAGACGAGCGCAAGATGTCAACTCGTGGCATATGGATGACTAAGCATTTATATCATCAATGCAGACAACTGCATTTTATTTCTTATCAGCTGTGCAATTCCCAAGAGACATAAACTTAAAGTTTGAAACTTCAAAGTATGAATGTACGCATACATGCTTGCTGAAATTTAAAACTAGCTAAAAATCACAAGGATAGATTTTAAGGCTCTGACATAAGAGCTCAATAACGAGTGTATTCATGTCAATCTAAGTTGATATACAGATTGTCAGTTGGTTGATGAATAAATCCAGGAGCACTGCGTTTAATATATCGGCCTGTATGTACAAAAAGAATAACGGAGAAGAAAACACAAAGAAGAAAACAAAACAGAACTTTGTTTGTTCAAATTGCATATTCTTAATCAGACAGGTTATCCTTGAAGTGGGTGTAGGTGACATTATGATGATATCATCCAGAAAACAAAGGCTACGTTTTTGATGAGGGAGGGGGGATCAAGGCAATCTAAGCCAGTTGCCAAAATGTCAACCTCTGGATGTCTAAACACAGAAAATATTTCTGAACAGTTATTCCCACCCCCCCTAAAAAGAAAGGTGTTCTTTGATTGGATCACCCTAATCTCTTCCCAAATAATTAAAATGTAACCATTTTTGCCAATCTATTCTCAAATTTACTTGATTTCCCCTCTACAGAAAAAAAGTTAATTTATCCAAATTTACCTCTATCTGGGAGACTTAGAAAATTGTAGTAGAAACTGTATGACTTACTTGTTTTCAGGAAAAAGCTAATGTGCCAATCACACTTGAGGAAATTGTATTAGTTTTGATTTAACTCAGAACACTACTGTGCCGTCATGTGATATAATATACTTCCTTTTATTTGGTATGTATAGATTGGTGACAAGCTTCCATCTGTTCAAGTCATGGAGGGAACTCCCAAAGACAAAGTCAATGTGGCCACTTTGTTCTCAGGAAAAAAAGGGGTACTTTTTGCTGTACCAGGAGCCTTTACTCCAGGCTGCTCTAAGGTTCGTATTTACATTTATATTTACATTTTTACATTTATATTGCGCAGACTTCTATGTGGATATATTCAGTCGCGCTTAACAGTATCGTAAGGTTGAGATGGGATGTCAGCATTTTTATCAGGTGCCTCTGGCAGCCGCTGCAGTCCATGTAGCGATCTAATCTTCCCACCCATGCCACCCCGGGGAGGACATCCATTACACAGTAATCTCGTGCATGGGAAATTTATGTCTCCTGCCCCTGACCCTGCAGGAGACAGGACCTACGGCTTTACGTCTTATTCGAGAAGACGAAGCAATGTGAGTGAAGCGTCTTGCTTAAGGACACAATGTCATGCCCCAGCCAGGACTTGAACCCGGGCCAACCAACCCACAGTCCAGCGAACTGACCACTGGACTACTCACGCCTCACAATGGAAACATTATTATGAAACATTATTATGAAACATTATTATGAAACATTATTATGAAACATTATTATGGAGTAATCTATGATAGAAAAGTGATAGTAAAAATATCTTATCGGGGTCAGGCACTGGCTATGAGGACAGCATTGTCTACCTGATTTGACAATCTGGAGGAAAGTTTATCTTATAAAGAAGTTCATGTCATCATCATCATCTTTATTTTCCTTATTTTAACAATATACAGCGATAACAGTTAGAAGGCGAGGAGACCCAAGAAGCCACCTGGCTTATGGGAGAGCCACCTCACTTACAATAATAAATTAAGTAAAGAAAAAGTGCTGCAAATGTGCGGCTTGGCCAATTCAGTGATTATTTAAGCAAAAACTCTTACAATTTCGTTTTAAAGCTGAGAAAGTTCGACGAACGAGTGACTGAAGTAGGGAGAGAGTTCTACATTTTAGGACCTTGGTAGAGAATTGTAAATTGCTTGACATTTGTACGGCACAAATGCGTTCGATAATTACTGGCTGTTCTGGTACCATAGTTGTGAATTTGGCTATTCCTTACAAAAAGATCGAGAAGCAATGGGGGCAATAAGTTATTTTTGAAATAAAACATAAATTTGGCGATTTCAAACGTATTGACTTGGAAAATATCTAAAATTCCTAGTTTGGAGAATAAAGGGGCAGAGTGGTCTCGATAGTCTGAGTTGGTGATAGCCCGCACAGCTCGCTTTTGCAAATAATAAATTCTATTTAAGTTAGATACGTATGTGGACGACCAGACGGAGTTACAATAGACGATATAAGGATAAACTAAGGTGTAATACAAAGTGAGTTTGGTTGCAGAGGATAGGGAAAAGCGAGACCTAAATATAATACCTATTGATTTAGCGATTTGTTTACATACATAGCTGATATGGTATTTCCAGGTGAGATGATTGTCAATATAGACCCCAAGGAATTTAGTTACATTAGCTTGTTGTAGGGGTTTACCTCCAAAGGAGAGAGAAATGCTGGAGTTAAATTTCTTCTGTCTGGGTTTAAAAATTATATAGTTGGTTTTCTTTA